CACCAAAAACAAGCACATACAGGACAAACCTATCTTATGAAAACCAGAGTCCGTCTGGGGGTAAGGGAAGATCATATTAAACAAACAGACAGAAAAGGCCACTTTGAGAAATTTCTCCCTAGACTGAAATACAGGATCATCTTTGGAAAAAAAAAAAAAATTGCAGATGGCAAGGCTCCGGCTAAAGAAAATCTAGTTATAGCAGAGGAGAAAAGCATATGTTCGGGATACATACTATAAATAGACTAGATACTCTTATGGGATATATCAGCATATAGAAGAGCAGCAATAGAAAAGGCCAGAATAAATGTGCAGTTATTTTTTTTCAGTCCCGTCAGTTTCCTGCATGCATCTAGTGGCATTACAGTTTTTTTACTCATCATATGTTTTAAAATCTAGTGTTTGATTCAAAATAAAGCTAATTTGCATTGGCATAGTGACTTAACTCACTGGTGTATTATTACCATGTAAGCAGGTGTACCAGCAACTGCAAATAAATGCTTGCTGATGGAATCCCAGCAGGGTTTCTGATGAGTTTTCATTTTGTTGAACCTTACCCAGGAAATTATTGTGTAAAAAGCTTTGCTCTTAGTTCTTTGCCTGAAACATTATTTAGCTACACCTGGCCAAATTCATGGCAATTATACTAACTATTCATAGAGGACATACCAAAAATCCCATCAGCCTTTTTAAATCATTGTCTCAAAACCTGCGTATGAACAGTGAAAAAATCCCCCTCAGATTAATATGCACAATGAGACTTCTGATCCACTGTATAACCTACATAGAGAAAGATAAAATGAAAGCTTTAAGGTGGAATCTACGTGACGCATCACTGGAATATTCTAAGTGAAAGTATTTTACAGTAAAATATGTCATTCAAAGCAAAAGTATCTTTTATGATGATGGTTTTGGCAACACATTTCATCATGTCATTAGAGTTGATTTTCATTTTAGTTATTTGGGCTGAGAGCGTCTCCAATGATTTTGCTATTTGAGGGCTTAATGGCTTATTCGAATCAATTCAGAATACCCAAGAAATACTGCAATGGGTGCTGCATGTCCCACATTCTACAGTCTCCTATGAAGGAATTATTTAGGTCAATCTTTCTTACCTGCAGTAAAGAGCAGGAAAAAAGTTTTCAGTAAAAGGCTGAAGAATAGCTATTGATGCTTTTATATAGATCCATGAGAGTAACCACCAAAAGCACATACAAAATCCACATCTAATATTATATAAGGATTTGCAAGTCACCTTTAAATATTACCAGGGTGATTATTTGAAAACCAACAAACAAGATTAAAATAAGTGTTTCCCTTTACTACACTAGCAAGTGAGCATTTGCCAAAGAATGGGAATTAAAATGAGTTTTCCTATCGATTGCCATGAGTGTTTATGAATTCTTTTAAGTGATAATGATGATAATCTACATACAATGTAGAAAAGTTGATAAAGTACCTAAAAACCACTATGAAAGGTGCTATAGAGGGACCGCACCATTATTACAAAGCATACTGACCTACTTTTTTCTAATCCTGCTCAAAAAACCTATATACTCAAAGCAGTAAGATTTTTTTTGTCGGCTTAAAGCTAAATTTACCTTCCTGCTTAATTCCAAAATGATATGCTATTGCACAAATCTTACTCACCTGTGATGCGAAAGTCACTGGACAGAATTCCTGCAGCATTGGGAAGCGGCCAACCCAGCTACCGCACCATGATAGCATGACACCTGCCAGTAGCTGGAGGAACCAGTGTCTTGGCATGATTCATAAGGGCACCATTTCAGGTTCCATTCAATTCAATGTACCAGATTACACAAAAAATATAAAACATCCATTCTGTGAAGAGTCTCTGCTTCACAGCTTAGCTTTTAGTACTCAAGCTAATACCATGGAAAGACTTGCAGATCTATCTCATCCTGCTGAGAAACCATGATTTGGAAGGACTCTCTACCTAAATCAGAGCAGAGAGAGGTAGTAACAGAGGTGTCAGTGTGTTTCTGGATATCACTTCCAGGTGCTTTTCAGCTGTAGAAGCATTTATGCATGGCCAAAGGAAGAGAGTGAGGGTAGCACAGTCACTTGAATATCCCCATACAGACCTAACTTCTTTAAAAATGTGTCTTGAATGCTTTGAGGAGGTTCCTATGTGTATAAAAAAAGTCACAAATTACTTTGGAAATGTAAATCTCTCACATCACTCGACTTCATTGCATAGTTTATCGTTAACTTACCATGGGTTTTAAGCAAAAAAGCAACACGTGAAGCAGGATATAGAGCACAATGTGTGTCTAGGAAGCCATTATGTGGGTAGGCTCAGTGA